ACTACTCCATGCAGGCAAGTCTATGTGCTACCTGTCGCAGTAATTCAGTGAATATAATGTATATTTTTTAAAATTCTTTCCTTTTTAGTAAGAATTATATAAAATTAATTATTTTGTTAAATTGTTCAGTAGATGGCGCTTCATGTAAAGCAAGCAATCAAATGTAGAGAGAAATTAACTGATATATAGAAATCCAATTGATATTTTGGGGTGATACTTATGACATTGTGTAAATTAGAAGTATTTGAACTTATCTTCCGAGTTTCGTAGCAAAATTAATCGAACAGCCTAAGAGTGTATAGCGAAAAAAGAAACAAACATCCTCATTTACTATATAGACTAGTAGATATGTTCAGCATTGCCCGGTTAAAAGGTAAAAAAATAAACGTTAAAATGAAAACTATAATACAAGTTTGGTTATTTTAGCTTACCATTGTTATGGTTGTCACTAAGTATCGAGATTAAATTAGGAAGAGATTGGAGGCGTTCATATTTTATGGAAGTCTAAATTTTTCCCCAGAATCCCAGAGAATAAGAATAAAAATTTCGATACAAATCGGGTTTAGGAGTTAATAAGGGGATGAAATCAAAAGAGGAGCGGGGTGTCCAGGTCTAATGGTATTCTATATTTTCCTCAGAGTCTCAGAGAATAAGTAAGAAAAATTTGAAGACTGACCAGAAAGCTAACAGAGACATAAATACAGTAAAGCCGCTTAATGCTGCCTCGATTAACGCAGATTCGATATAATGCAGTCTGCTCGAAGCCTAAAAAAAAACTCAAAATTTACGCTGACACAAATTATCGCGGCATTTCATTGATTATTCCCAAATACGAACCAATCAGCAAAAGGTGGCAATTTGTCGTAGCGCTGTACTTTCCTTAAAACTATGTTTGTTTGGTGCAATTTTGGAAAAAAATATAACATCATGGATGCCATAGGCAATATCGACTTCGCTTGGCAAGAATTAACTGATAAATGCATTAATGGAGTGTGAAAGAAGTTATGGCTGAAGGTGTCCAAGAATTCTTAACGAGAAGAGCCTATTGCTGTATCGTTAAGTTGACCAAATTGTCAACCTAATCGGTACAGCAAGATTAGGAGATATAGACGAGGTGAATATTGAGGAGTTACTGCAGGTTTCTGGTAAGAGCCTTATCAACAACCTTCCAGAACTGGCAGAACAAGGAATTCATGTAGAACTGAAAAATAGAGATTCTGAAAACGAAAAACCCAAAAAATTTCTCTACAGTTTTCCTTAGTAAAAGCTAACCGAAATCGTTCATTAAATTGTTACGAATGATTCAGATTTTGAAGAGTGCAAAAGCAAAACGAGGCGTTTTGAATGCGCTCTTCCACTACCAACACTTGCTTATGGAAAGGAAAAATATCGACAAATGAAACTACTTGACTTTATCACAAAAAGCATAAATTTCAGAAAAGCCAGGTCCATCACAAAAAAATAAACTTTAGATTTCTGTGTGCATATGTTTATACACAGAAGTGTTATTTAACATATATTATTATACAAGTTAATATAAAAATAACTTAAAATTAAAGTAAAATTTTTTAATTTTTGGTCGCGTGTCCCCCTCATTTACTCTGTTAAAATGACCTCGTTTAACGCTGTTTCGTTTAGCGCTTTGTCGTCTAAGAACGCATCCCTCTCGTTAAGCGGGGTCTTACTGCATTTTATTATATATATATATAACCGAAGAGAAACCGTCGAGTCCAACAGACTAAGCAGTTCCGAGAAACCGTTCGGTCGGAATAGTTTTACACTCGAATCAGTTCCAACAGTTCCAGTTCCAGAAGCAGAACTGGATCCTCTAATCCAGGGTTCGAACATTATATTAATATAGATTAATGTAATTTAAATAATTACAAGTGTCGGGGACACGACCGTGTGTTTTACGTGAATACGTGTATGTTAACGGGTAATATTTTCTTTGAGCGTATTATATGTATGTCATAATCATCCCTTAACAGTAAGAAGTCCTTCGGATCTCCATGTTTTTTTACGTTCCCGGCACCGCTTCACTCTATCATATGGTGTTTTATGGGTATGGATTGCTCTTGAGAAGCCCTTTCCAACCATATACGATTTCTATATTTTGATTTGGCTTTTCGACGACTACAGGCCGACATTGCATTAAGTTTTCTTAATTTTTAACTTTAACACCATATATATTCACCATAACTATTCCATACTAATGTTTTGTGTACGCAATCGATAAATATTAATGAAAGCTGTAAATTGAAACGAGTTTCGTAGCTTCTCCGAGTCAAAATGTATACTAAACGGAAAATATGTGACGCGGCGAAACGACCACAAAATGGCGGCGCTTCCCCCTCCGCCGCGCGCGATGCATCACAATCCCCACTCAACGTAATAAATTCTTTGATCCTTTAACTATCGAGTGGTGAAATTAAATTTCGGATGTATATGATAGATATGTAGCTGCAATGCCAAACTGTATCCCCCGATTATGTTATCATCAGTTTTCTGAATTGCCTCCCACTAAAGAAGCAAATTTAACGACGTATTCACGTCAAAATTATAATTAAAATGACGAACATAAAGACGAGCACGTCCCTAGCGGACATTTCGTAAAACGTAACTTTTTTCACTGGAGAAGGAATTTTTAAGTGAAAAGAAAAATATCGCTATCTCGGAAAAGAATAGACCGAGCTTCATAAAACTGAATACGTAGGCGGGGAAAAACAGTGAATGAGGACGATACTCATATTTTGTTGGGATAATGCGTATGAATTTAAATAAAGTGTTCTAATTCCAGTACAGTAACGTTCGCTTTGTTAAGCCGATCATTGGTTCGTTCTCTCGCTTACTTGACGGCTTTCCTCTATAGAGCCTTATTGAATACCACGAAAATATTATTTTGAAGTGCAAAAGTGGTGCGAGAGGTGAGATCATACATCACGAAATATTACCGATTTTCAGAATTTAAACAGCACAAATAGTGTAAAGCAATGGTTCTCAATTAGTGTTACCCCTTCACGTAATTTCGCGTAGCCCTGGGGGTACGCGAAATTACGTGAAGGGGTACGCGCAGCAATCTAAAATCGGTCGATTTAAAATTTAAATGCATGAGATGAAGCAATCAAAAAAATAATGGGTAAACCATCAAAAATTCGGCAATTTACAACATGAAGTCGAATGCACAAATTCGTTTATTCATAACTAAAAATATTCTCGAAATTTCATCAAAAAAATGCATTTGTGACAATATCTAAATGAAATTCTTGTGCAAGAAACAAAAATTGTACAATTATCATTATTATCATGTCAACAAAGCTGCAATAAAATATTTTCTACCATTTTGCACAATATACCTCTGTAAGAGCGGATTTTCGGCCATGACAAACATGAAAAGTAAACATCATCATCGACTTCAACTCGAAGATGACTTGAGACTGAAGCTGACCAAAAAGCAACCAGATTTTCAAAGAAAATCGTACACATATGTCACATTAAAATTAAATAACCTTATGTTATTTTCATTATTAGAATTGTATTTTAAAGGTAATAAATGTAAAAAAAAGACTTATTCTATTTATCAGTAGCTGTCTACCCACAGCTTCGCCCGCATTATATCGAATTTTCTCGTGGGAGTAATATATTTTCCCTCAGTAAAATGTAGCCCATGTCCATCTCCAACATGTAAGCTATCTCTGTGTCAAATTTTATTAAAACCTGTTCAGTGGTTTAGACGTGAAAAGGTAATAGGCAGACAGCCAGAATTACCTTCGAATTTATATTAGTATGGATTAATATGAATTTCTGCTATAAGGGGTACGAGAGTTTGAGCTCTTTCTTGAAGTGGTACGCAGGAAAAACTAATTGGAAACCACTGGTGTAAAGAAAACAGCATCAGAACCCGTCCCTCTTCACCCAAACAAATCATTCACTAAGAGAATGAAACAAGCCTCTGTCTTTATTGATGGCACAAACTTGTAAGACGACCTTCTTTATCAAATGTCCATCATTATTTCGGCCAGACCAAAAAAGTGAGTACCATCAGAACGTGGTGACAAACAAGAGTCGACATATCCAGACAGACCGTTCCCCGATAAGTTATTGTAGGTTTCGATCCGTACGGATTCAATCCCGGATCCCCAAGAGCGGTAGCTGCTTCCAAAGATGCACGGACATTCGGCCGACCGAAAAATTCTGATCTGCGTACTGTGAAACTTCATGAGGAATCTTTATCTTCGATTTATTATCATTTTCCAACATCGTTAAATGTACTTAAAATGTATGAGCAAACTAAATTTTCTAAATCCAATTTTTTATACTAAAAGCGAATGCATTGCAAATGCCATCTTACTAACGAGATTAAAGCACTGACCTCGTTCATTTGATTCTATAACCTCAAGATATAATTTTATTTCATATTAATATAGTCTAAAAATAANTTAACACTTCCATTGTTACTTAACACTTCCATTGTTGATGGAAGTGTTAAGCCTTAATCCTGTAACTCTCCCCCGTGGGGAGGAATTTCGAAAAATCCCTTCTTAATGTGCGTTCTCCTAACGTACCGTAACTGTCTACCAAATTTCAACTTTCAACTCCTAACCATTTGGGCTCTGCGCTGATTATTATTATTATTATTAACTCGTCTCGATTATATATTAGATACGTGTCGAAATTCAACCCCACTGAAGGGAGATGATTAGGATTAAGGCTTACCGTAAAGAACTCTGCTTCTATTTATACTATTTTAGATGCGGGTTTTTGCGTTTTTGATTGCATTTTAATAGGATACGTCAACAGAATGTACACTAAGAAGAAATTTTTCGAAAAATTTTCCCCCCATGGGGGAAGTGTTATAAATTTATAATAGATACATTTTGAGCCACAACAACGCGTGACGGGGTCTGCTAATCTAAACATAAAGTTACATAATTTTTTTTAATCTAATAAAACGCAACAAAGAATAATATTGTTCAATTTTATTATTAGTGTTCCATTGTTGAAAACATTCGATTCAGAAATCGAACATTAATCCAGGTGAGATTTCAGTGCGTTTGCCAGCGGGATGTTTGGTGTTTAGCGCAGTCATCTCGGGAGAAAGCGCCGAATATACCCAGCCAAACATCGATGTTCAAATGTGTCCGTGACACACGCTTGCCTTCTGAATATCCCGCTAGCAAACCAATCGTTTCAGAGACTTTCGCTCGCAAATATTTAACGTCATTGCGATGTAGCGATGTATTAATGAGAAACAAAAACATCACTAGCTACTGTTGGTTTTAATGAATTTTGAATACGGTTTGAAGAATATAAATGTTTATAAAGAATGGATTGACAACAAAAATTTATTAACTTGATATTGGTGACGGACCAAGATAGCAACCGTCCTCTCGAATCCTGATGAATATTTTCTACAATTTCTCCAGGAGTATTTTATTACTGGCCAGAGAAGAAAAGAAAGAAAAAGACTCCACCAGGATGAAAATTTTTTAATTTTTATATTACAATCCTTTCGCTTCGTTTGGTTGAGTAAGTTAAACTTTCAAATTTATTTAGAGCTCTCTCTAAAAAATGGTTGATTTTTCAACCTGCTTATACTCTTCATAAACTTGTATGAGTTTCAGGAGAAAAAGTAAAGCTTTTGGTTGTAATGTGTTATGACAAGCTGATTGTATTAAAGCAATTTTTGAGATATAATAATAATATTAAATACAGTAAAACCTGTCTATGGCGACCACCCACGGTTCCTTCAAAAAATGGTCTTTTAGACAGGTGGTCGTCCAATACAGGTGGTCCTGTAATAACGTATTTCCGTACGTATTTTGCGCACTTTTTAGCCATTTCTACTAAGCAAAACTCGAGGTGAGCAAAAATAAGCGAATTTTTTCAACGATAGGGCTATATTGGTATTGTATTTTATTCTTATCGGATAACCCGATTTACAGGAGTCGTCATGATATTATAAGACAGATTTAACACCAATATTTTAAAGATTAATACAATACTCGCATTTTCTCGATTATAATGCACACTTTCTTTTTTCCGACTTAATTAATTCGACTCGGTTCTTTTCGTTCGCTCCTCAGTTACGTGTATTACGTCATCAATATACAAGCGCGTCCTATCTCTCCATCACTTTGCTTTTGGTTTTCGTTAGTTTAATCTTATTTTAACTTTAAAAATACTGTTTTTTTTAATATTTAATATTTTCTTAATTAATTAAGTACAATAAGAAAAATTATTAATTAATAATAAAACGATTTTATTATTTTTTCTCATTATACGATTTCATTACAATCGCGGAATCGAAAAAGGAAGTAAAACTGATTTTTGCATTAATGCGTTTATTGTTTTTTGAATATTTTGCCTGCGAAAATTACTTGGATATTATTTTTCTAAAAATATCGTGGAAATAAGGTAGGTTGATACAGAAACTATTTATCGCACGTGTACTGTATATGAGCTTCAAAATAAATAAATAAAAATAGATTTTATCAAACGATGAGATCAGCCGATTAATTGTATCGTGTACAATATTTTACACCCCCAAGGAAAATACTGTAGGTCTAGGGTAAAATAAATTTTGTTTTCCCACAGTTAAACTTCGCCGCTAATTGCTGTTGTGATAACTTTAATACGATCTTCTAACGACAGCACTTTGCATTTCGGACATTTTCCAACAAACTGAAATGAATTTCCTTTGTTGCTAGACTAATTTATTAACACCTGCACCTAATTTCGAGGGTGGGAGAAGTGCCCGGGATGGGTTCGAACGAGAGTTTAGACTAATTCATTATATTAGGAGGTGGAAACGTTGTTGAGATGGGTTCTTACAATAGTTTAGACCAGATACATTCGCGAAAGTGGTCGCTTATTACAGGTGTTGTATGTTGTTTCGGACCAAAAATCGATGCTCGCGGTCGCGTTACACAGGTGGTCGTTTAGTACAGGAAACTTATACGAAGACTATGGATAAACTATTCCGTGCCAGAAATTTTTGCCCGTTTTGACAGGTGCCCGTCGAATGCAGGTGGTCGCCTAAGCAGTTTTCACTGTATTTAAGTTTCTTTCTGTTGAGACCTAAATATTGATAAAAAAACCAATTGTACTCTAAAATAAACAAGCACAGCCTTCTCACTGAGATTGTAGTTTTTTTATTGTAGTGTAGGACCTATAAACACTTGTCTTTTTCTTTTACCCGCAACCCACAGGTTGAAAAACACTGCTCAACTGTATTAAATCTGGTTACAGTGAGAATAATCTAGTGTGTCAATTGTGCTTTGTGTGGTCATGGTCTACCAGAGTAAATTATAGACTCAATGAATATTAATTTTGTAACATACCAAAACATGGGATATTTGGAGTTTATTCTACACTTAATTGTGTTGAATGGATCAGTTTTCTTCTCTGATATGTAGTTGTTATTATTTGTAATTATTTCTTATAATTTGTTTTTTGAATAAATTACTGATAACTTAGTGATAAAGAAAAAATTAAAAATGTTCGCATTTTATTTTAGGAATATGTTTCCCAAATTCATTGATCAACTTGCAATTTGTAAAATATTTTAAGGCCATCATCATGCAATTCTATCAACTCCATTTTTCCTATTGTTTCATAAAGTAAATTTTTGTAAAATTTATCAAGAGAAATTGTGTAAGTATACAGGACTGGAGTAAGGGTCTAGAAAAACTGCAGTTTGGTTAACTTGGATCTATTTCATGGCTTTTTTTAAATTTGTTACTTAATAAAAATTGATTCTTTTTGAAAGTTTTCCCTTCTTAAATCTTAAAATGTAATTTCAAAATAATGATGAGTCTTAGAATCAAGTAAATATGTTATTTATTAAAACCATTTTTTTTAATCTTTTATCACAAATTGTATTGTATTAAATTCTTCCAAAAAATTCAAAGTTATTTATACATTCTGAAAGCTGTGCAAAATCTTTTCTGAAATATCCAGTGTATGATGCAAATGAATGTTTTACTGATTTCTTTTTCTCAGTTAATGAAACTAAAAAAATGTTTGCCAAATGTTCAAATTATATCAAAGTTCATTAATTTACATTTGCATAAAGATATCAATTTTATGAAATTACATCTGTATGTGAAAATTTTTCCTTATAATGCTCCTTTAATTTTTAAAAAATATGAATTTTTTAAAATCTTTATAATAATGAAGTCATTAAGAAAAATGCACTGCATAACATCAACTAATCAAAATTGCTATTTAATAATCTTATTAACACTGTTATAAAGTAAACCCAGTCTAAAAATGTTTTTTGTAAATCACGATTATTGTTTTCGTAAATCATGTACGTTAGTTATTAGAATTACAATATTTCTACAATATGATGTAGAAACATGGCAGCATTACAGGATTATTTTAAAAATATAGACAAGTTCCTCTGTCTTCTCCAGATTCTTCCAAACATAGCAAATTGAATTCTATTCACTGTGGTGAATAACGTGGTTTAAGTGTATTTTTCTCAAGTGGATACTCAATAAATATAATACAATTTTGCTTTGTATATTCAAATTATCAGACTAAAATGTTATTCATTATAGTAAAAACATAAGTAAACTGTTTTAAACACACTTTAATGTTTTTCTGTTAATTATAAATGGTTACATAACTGTCGAGGCACCACTTGAGATGGACCACAAATTTAAGCAGTGTCTGCTGACACACAACCCCATGTAAAACAAGACAATACTGTGATTACATATCAATACAGTGTTAAGAGGAGAGTTTTGTGTTGTTTTTGATTTAATCAGGATTTTTGGCTTAAATATTTGTTTGGGAGTCTCAACTTTATTTATAAGCAAAGAACTGTAGATAAAGATGGCATCAGAACAATCCATAATGGACATTATTTGTAGTTAAATTTTAACTATTTTCTACAAATTTTCAAAGAAGCATAGTTTGTAGAACTTAAAATTTACAAATTAAATGTTCTGATCAAGATAAACTTTTATTTTTTCATTAAAAGATTTATTTAAAATGATGTTATATATGTAAATTTTGACTATTTTAAAGAAGTTTTTAATTAATCTAACTAAAGACTATTGAACTTTATCATATAACTAAAATGACAAATATACAGTATATCTGACAAGATTTGAGAAGCAGCATACTGAAAATCATTAAATTCTACATGAAATTTTAGTAAAAGTTCAATCCAGAAGGCAATTGTATGAATTATGACTAAATATATTTAATCCATTTAAATATGTTTTAAGAGGAAGAATTTTATAAAGTTATGTTTTGGTAATTTAAATATATATATAACCAAAACATTCTTTGGTTCATACTAGTTTGTTTTATCAGTTCAACAACAACTTGATTGATTTTGAGAATTAATTCATATTAGACTAGTACTAATGCACAAAAACAACTTGATATGAAGGTAATAGCATATGTCAATTAGATCTAGACTGTTTTACAAACCATATTTTAAAAGCCAGTAACCATTTCAAAAATTTTTATGCAATTTTGTCTAGCAAACTTTAATTACATACAAGCAAATCAAATTTTTAATTAATACTATTACTACTACTAGAATAAGTTCCATGAGATTTACAGTTCATTCACTGTTCATAATTTTCAAAAATGTTCCCTTTGCTTTACTAGATATACTTTAAAGTTTAAATATGAAATCTATTTAAATTAATAAGAAAAGCCTGTGTTAAGTGCAATATCAAAAAAGTTATATAGCTAGAATTTTGTTTTGGTTGTCCAAAGCTCTCTTCTGAAAACTCTCCTTATCTCCTAAAAGCATGTTTTCATTGTTTTATAACAGCAGTTTTCAGATTTAAATAATAGATTTGATTTAACTGAATCTTTCACTAAAATGCAATAATTTCCCCCCAAAAAATTATGATTTGGTAATTTGATTCATTCATAATTGAGTAATTTGGAAAAACAAAATTTCTGTAACTAAACTTTACAATTTTATTGTATAGCTGTGGCTGTACTTCTTTTACATGGTAAATAAAAAAGGCTGTGAAGTATATATATAAATTCCAGCCTCTACATCAGAGTATACAGATTATCACCAGTTCTCACCACAATCATTGGGGGCACAATAAAGAAAAAATTTCAATTATTACTCATACTAGCTTCAGATATTTGTTCTTTTTAAAATAAAGGCATATGCACTAGAATGTGCTTCTGATTTCTTAACCTTGCTCCTCTGATTTATTTAAGAAAGGAATGAGCCCCCAGACTGAGGTTTGTTTAGTTGATAATTCTTTTAATTTTTCATCCTACCAGAAGGTATATCCTCCACTGCTACCTCCAGTGAGAAAGCTGGATTTCTGCTGACCAAGGACTACTGAACTACCTTGCATCATTGCTAATTGAGCAGCATTTGGAGACATTCCAGGTGGCGGTGGCTATTAAATAAATTAAGACATGTGAATAATTGCTTTATTAAATTATATAAAATTTTGATTAACAAATAAATCACTAAAAGTATAACAAATATTGTTAATATAAAAGTTTATATAAACATTTTAATAAATAAGGTGTTACAGGCAAATACTGTATATCAATCATTTAGATAGTTTATATTAAATATATTTATATACAAAATACAAATTCTATAATTATTAAACCATTTATAATCCACACAGAATAAAGATCAAAGCCAGTCTGTAGGTATCAAATTATGTGTTCTCAGTAAAATATGGTACTGAATGATGAGAATTACCATTACATTTTCTGCATAGCATTTGTCAAACATTTTGTCCATTGTCTGTTGTTTCTATTTTGATTTTTTTCATGATGGGGGAAAAAAGCATTGACAATTTTAAGCTAAGTATTTTATATATTCAAGTAGATTATGATATTCTTGTTGTTCTGTCTAAAAGTGTTGTCTAGAAACACCAAATTTAAATAGATAAATTCAATTTTTAAAATTTTCTTTTGATTGTTTGGTGTTAAGTTCAATCTGTTTCCTTTTTTGTTTGGTGTTATAAAATATATATTTAAACTCAATTAAAAGTTTGAGAAGCCTCAAGAAAAATGTGTTTTTCTTGAAATGAACAAAATACTGAAGATATGATCCTTTACTTTTGATGCAGTGCAAACAGTGATCTTTTGGAAAATGACAAACTAACAGTGTAATTATGCTACTGCCTTCAGTAGATATTTCTCATTGTTATTTTAAAGCTAATTGTAAAGGACAGACTATTAGAAGTCAAACAAAGCAAGTTGTCCTAAACATATATTCATACATTAGGGAAGCTAATCCAATGAAGCATAGAAGAAACTGTTGAAGAAACCACAAAACTGACAGTGTGGAATCTTTTGCCATCTTTGCCACAAAGAACAATGACATGTGGCAGATGGAAATCTTTGAATGCCAAGCAAGAAAAGGCCTCAGAAATCTGGAGCTGAAAGATGTGATGTGAAGTGCGACAGTTTCACTTGCACTACAGTGTGAAGTATTGTACATAAGTATTTATCCAGAAACAAGCCACTGATATTAAAATACTGAATGATGTAAATGATGACTGATTTGCCAATCATTTCCAAAAAGACATCACAAGAAAGATTCTGCATTGACCAATAAATATGAAATTTTAGCTTGGAGACAGATATCTCAGACAAATTCAGCAGTATCATTCAGAAGGAAGAAAGATATTTTCACTTATGAAACTTAGTAGATGCTGGCAACACAGTGTCAAGATAAACTATGAAATCTGGTAAGGATGCATTTTTGAGATTTGCCTGAAAGAGCCATATGGTAAGGCAATTGCCTGATTTGTACTCACTGTAAAAGCAAGGAAGGCTTTGCAGAGGGTGCTCTCCTGTTCCAGTCGAAAAATACAAGTGGTCATCAGGATGTGAATGGCATCTATTTAAAAAAGTTTTCAAGTTGCAAAAATTTCCACCATTAAGTGTGATTGTAATAGACAATGCTTCCTACCACAGTATAAGGTCAGAGGAGGAGGGGGAATCCCTACACCAGAAACATAAATTTAATGAAAACAGTGAACGTTTCCGGCCTTATCCAAGACCTGCTTCAGGTTTTTAACAAAAATTCCAAAATGGAATGCTTAGACCAAAGATATATTTGAAAACTATTTTTTTTTTTTTTTTTAATTTTGAACATCATAAATATCTATCATACGAATTTTTGTATATGTTGTGTTGTTCAAAATTTAAAAAAAAAAGTTTTCAAATATCTTTGGTCCAAGCATTCCATTTTGGAATTTTTGTTAAAAACCTGAAGCCGGTCTTGGATAAGGCCAAAAATGTTTGATGTTGTCATTAAATTTATGTTACTGGCATTTAAAGGTTATTGATTTTTTTTATTAGCTCTAATAATTTGAGAAGCTAGTTTTAAAATCCCTACAAATGCATGGAAGAAAGATATCAGAAAATGGCTCACAGAGAAAGGTAAATACTGTTTCTATAGCTTCTTGTTCTATCAAACTTTACAGGCAAATGGTAAAAAAGTTTTTATTTGTTACAGAATATGCATTTTGGGTGTTACACCACTCAACAATTCTTACTGAAATCTATCATGCATCTGTAAATAAGAACTGATGAGGGGTGTAATACCCAAAATACATATTCTGTAATAAATAAAATCTTTTTTTTACCATTTGCCTATAAAGTTTCTGTATGATAAGTTTGTAATAAATGCAAATTTATGCTAAATCAAAACAAAAGGCAAATGTTGGCATCCAGAAAAACTGAAGCAATTAGTCAGAAACTTGAACTGATGATTTTGGTACAAATAATAGCACAGGTACACTACACTAACTGTCAAATAGGTAATACAGCTGCTGCTGGCCATAAAGTACTTCAGCTTCTGCCATACCATGCTGAACTAAGCCCAATTGGCTTGACTTGGAATCAAAAGGATCTGTGGCTTGGAATAATATTACATTTAAAATGTCATTGAATAATTTTTTCACATAAGTGAAATTACTTTCAAAATGTGGAAATCTTTTGTCCATCTTATCATTAAAAAAGAGATGCAACTTTGAGAACTGGATGTTCTTCAAGAAAGTAATGATTCATTCTCTCTAATAAATTCATTTGGAGTCAGTCAGATTCTGGCAATGAAGTGTGTGGCATTTTGCTCATTGATATAACACTTTTAAAGGTCTTTCAATCATTCAAGGACAACAATTTCTGGTGGCATGTGTACAAACCATACGATTAAAACAACAAAATCTTCACAAATTCAATTAAAAACAACAAATAACAAAAACACTAAAAAGGTAACAACTTTGGATAATCAGTTTTGCCAGGATAGTCTGCTATACAAAAACAAAAATAGTTCAGCATGAATCAGATAATTTTGTGGTAGAGATAAACATGCAAGTAAAGAAGTTTTGTTCTTTATCCTGCAGAGATCATCATCATTCATTGTCCTTGAGTTCAAATATTTTGATTTCTGATTAGTAAACCAGAAATTATTGACTCTTGAAACTGTTGCTTATCTACTTTATTTGTTGTCTGCTGGTCTTGGAACAAAGGGTCCACACATTTGACATGCTTATTCCAAAAGGAAGTTCAAAAAATACTTTCAGCATGAACTGCAGATGGTATACAATAGATGAAATTTAGAGTATAACAATTAACCTTCATGTAATATCAATGGACAAAGTCACTATAACCTAATTTACCATAAATAAATGATAGATTTAGTGCATTTAAAATTTGTAACAAATAGTGTATGTTTCAGGAAAAAGACTTAAATTAAAAATTATTTAAGTTGCAAACAGATTAAATTTTCTGATTATTAACATTACTAATAGAAAATAATAATTAAGTGATTAACTGTTAATTATATAATATTCATATTAAGTTATAAGAATCAGATAAAAAGTTTTAGTTAGTTTTCTATGTGAACATATCTAACTAACTAACTAGTAAACTAATTTCAAAACAGGAAAGCCCAAAAATGTAACTAAAATTATAAAATCAAAAAAACAAAAACAATGCAAGTGAAACACATTATAATATTATACACTTTTCTAATAAAAAAAACAATGTAATTTAGATACACAACAATTAGTCAGAATACTGATTTGATTTATTAGACAATACAGTTAGAAATTTAAATTTGATGTTATGTAACTTTAATAAACTTTCTTCAATTATTTCAAAATCATCAGAAAATTAAAAAAAAACTGTACAACCAGATTAATGATTCCAACAGTACAATTAATACTTTCTACAAATGACCAAAAATATCAAAAAACTTAAGTGGACAGAACAGTAATTGCAGATACATATAAGTTTTTCTATTTACAGTAACTTCCTGATTACTATTTTGAAAAAAATTGAGTTATTTAAAATTTCTTCAAAACAGAAAAATCATAATTAACAAGTGTTTTCAGCATCCAGAGATCTTTGCAATACTGTGCATTATATTACTGTACTCGGTAAGTTAGATTGTGCATTGATGTAGACTGAATTTTTTGAGCTTATTTTCTGTGAATATAAATTCAGAAGTATAATCTCAGCTCATTAAAACTTCTGTACAGAGCTTATATTAAATTACTGTACTGTACATTCATATTATCTGAGAAAACACTGACAGTCTCCACCCCCTATTAGTCCAAGTTAGTAGGATGTTCACCATATATAAATATAAAAATTTATTTTGTATGTTTTCTACAAAGACAAATCACTTATAATTGTTTTGTATAACAAATAAACATTAATATTTTAAAAAGTAATGTAGAAGAGTATCATAACTCAAAAATCAACATTTATTCTTTCATAAATTTCATAGTAGTTGTATTTTTATGTTTTATGAAAGAATACACAATTTTTGAGTTGTAATGCTCTTCAAACAAATGTTACATCTTAATTGTTCAGTAAAAACTAAATGGATTATAAGGACTAAGCATCAGTAGCCAAAAAGAAAAAAATAATATCAACACTAAAATGTAATAAAAAAAACATTATATAATAATATATATTCATTATGGTTCTGCATACACAAAGACTAAGAAAATGTGAATCCTATATCTATACAATCAAGATGGGTTGATAATAATAATAAGCGCAGAGACCAAATGGATAGGAGTTGAAAGTTGATACTCAGTTAGGGAACGTACACTAAGAAGGGATTTTTCGAAATTCCCCCCACAGGGAGAGGGAGAGGATTAAGGCTTGACTTGAAGAACTCTGCTTCTACTGTACTATTTTAGATGTGGTTTTTTGCATTTTTGATTGCATTTTAATAGGGTGCGTAAACTAAGAAGGGATTTTTCATAATTCCCCGTGGGGGGGAAGTGTTAAGAGAAAGCGGCATGCACGATTAACAGGCGCACATGCGTTTTTTTTTGGCGTTGTTTTGGGAAATTGAATGTATTTTTAGACCCATCTAACAGTTCTCTAATTAGTCTGGAAACAGGGGGACTAATTCTTGCATTCTGTGAAAACGGGTAAGATTGGCTATAATGTAATAACCTTAATCTTCACTATCATTACTTTTTGCCTGAGCAATGCCGGGCTTATTTGCTAGTATTATAAATATCTTAGATCTTTTAAAAGTGTTAAAACTTGCACAATCTTTTCCATTTTTCTAAGTATATGATCTTTTGCCTATGCTTCCAGATTTTTACTCTAGCACAAATAATTGATTTCTGTCCAAAGATTTTGGTAGCCTAATTTTTTTGTTCTAGGTATTATGCCAACAACTAATAATGAGTACAATAGAAATTATAAAATATTAATGAATCTTTATAATTAAACATCACCTTCAATTTAAATAAAATTTACTGGATATATATATATATATATGTTTTAGTTATTTATCTTCTCTAATTTCACCAAGCTCTTC